CCAATTCTTTCAACAGCACATCGCAGTTAAAGTGTAAGTGTGCGGAAAAAAACTTTGCAACTTAGAGAAGTGCAATCCTCCCCCCTTCCCTTACGAAATGGGATTTTCGTGATTGGGCAAAGGACACATCCCCCATCCCCTTTTTGGGCTTGTCAAGTTATTTTTGTACGTTGGAATTTTTTTTCTTTCACTTAGCCCCCCTTTTCAATTTGCTTCCGACGCCAATGTAATTTGCAGAATGTAAAAACTACTTTACCCCTCTTGTAAGGAGACTTGGCCATTTTAACAATTTAAACTCCCCCTCATCAAAGAATGCTTTGTATACAATTTGGTTAAAATTGGCCCAGTGGTTCTTGAGAAGTTGAAAATGTGAAAAATGTACAGACAGAATGACGGATGACGGACAAAGGGTAATCATTTTTAGCTCACTTGAGCTTTCAGCTCCGGTGAGCTAAAAATGAAAACCCTAGTCCTTGCTGCTCAAAATTTGAGGTCAAGGTAAAAAGTTCAAGGTCAAGGTAAAAAGGTCAAATTTGGTTGTACTCAAAGAAAGGTCTTGTCACAAGGAATATATACATCTGAAATATAAAAGTCATAGCTCCACTAAATCAAAAGTTATGGGGCAAGTTTAAAGTTTTTGTGACGGACGGACAGCTGGACAGACTGTGAGCTCGACAGACGGACAGATGAATGAGATTTAATGTCCCATCGCTATCGCAAAAGCGGGGGTGGGGGGGGGCAGTAAAATATAAACAGTGATCTTCAGACAGAGTGATCGGCAAAAGACATGCTTTTATTTAACTAAGATTAAAACGTAACGAAGTACATGCCTGTGTAAAAACAAACGAAAACACTGATTTGGATAAATCTGTAGTGTACAACAACTTTCTCTTTTATTTTTCCCGGTTCATTTTCACTCTGTTATCCAGTTCCTAATGCTGAATTACAACAAACCAGTGATTTTGTTAGTTTCTCTTTTTCATTGTCACCAATTATGAGATTTGGGTGTATTTTTGTGTCTGTCAAATTCACTTTGAGTTCCGTTGCCCTTTTAGGTAAGTCCGTTGTCGATAAAAGTGATCTTTCTATTGTCTGAGTTTCCGGTGTAGTAAAGATGCCTTGTACACTAACAGTTGAATATGATAAATCATTCAGAGTAAATGTTTCCATGGTAGAATGAGTAAAACTTTGTGTTGTTTCAAAGTTGTTTCCTGAATGGTCCGCGTTGAATGTAGAAACTTGGTGGTTTTCTTTGACGTCCGCGCTGTTATTCGTTGATGTGACCATGATAGCCTCAGTTTTTAAAAAGGTTGGCGACGGTGTAATATAAATTTCGTCTGAAAAAATGCAACTGTTGGTTACTGAGTATAAGAATCTAAAATGATATCTTTAACTTTATTTAGAAGTGAGAAGAAGATTGCAAGACTTGTATAAGTCTAAACAATAAAACCGTTACCTTTGATACAGACAAGCTCTGTCTTTCTGTCCCTCACTGAGATAAGCGCTAGATGATGCCCTCTAAGGAGACATTTCCTGGCACTGAAAACCCCTGTCGTTGTTCGAACACAACCATAGCCTCCCGTCACCAAGCGCTGAAATGACCACTTTCTACCACAGTAGTTTCCTTGAGAAACGATTCGATGTTCACCTGTACCATAGAAAAGTATGAATGCAGCGAGATAATGCAAATCGGTTTTCATATTTGTCCGTCAAATTACAACTGAGACGTCATGAATGTGTATTTTCCCTTTTCTTTGAAATACATGTAGTTGCAGAGGATATTAATTTTAATTAATTTTTTTTCTTTTGACCAAAAAAAAAAAAAAAAAGAAAAAAAAGTGATTTCTAGAAAGATTTCTTTCGAACACACTTGACCTTGAACAGTTCTTAATGACCTTGAATTCAGACCTTGATAAATTCCTTGATAATATTCTAGGCTTGTGGCAAATTTTGGCTTTTAATCAAATTTCCACAACACAATTTTTAAACAAATTTAAAACAAGCATTTACCTTCTTCCATTCCCGCGACCTTGACCTCTTCAAAAACCTTAATGCGGTATTGGCAAAGCCTTAATTAAGCTTAATTTTTTTTTGAGAAAGTTATATTAATTTCTTTTTAAGCAAAGCTATCGAAAAAGAATTTTCCACTTTTAACCTCTCGTGTCCTTGACATAGTCCAAATGATCTGATGACGACCAAAGATAAAAAATTCATAATGCATCCTTTTTAGAAGTGTCATATCTACATGATTCAGTATAAAAGTTACGGTAAGATCAATATTGAAAACAAAGAAGTGATAAAGAGGCATAAAAGTTTACCGAAGTTCCAACCCTAATCTCAATTTTTAAATCATCACAAGGTACTATAAAAAAGTTAATACCTGAAGCAGACAAGGGTAGTAGATAAATAAGGATTCCGAAGCAATATCCAAAGTGCATAAAAAAGTATTGAGATATAGCCATTGCAGAGAAAAATCAGACTAAATTTATATTTACAAAATCTGTCTTTAAATACTAAAGATTCTATTGCGTCATAGGCACTCTGAATTCGAGAGTTGAAGTGGCAAGGTCAAATAGTGTCACGTGACATAGGAAAGCGGATTCTCCAAACGTTTGTCTGACGTTGAGCCTTTTTGACACGGATCATAGGACTCATTTAGATCTCAAGAAGTTTAGAATTATACAGAAAAACGGCTTAAAGTTATCAAAAGGGGTTTATTTTTAGCCAAATGATCAGAATCCAATCTTTGATTTCTTTATGTTTCAGCGGTTAACCAGTCTACAACCTGTAGGTTTATGAGTTCTGTTTGGTCCTCATGTGATTGGATATTTGATCCGATTAAAAAGGTGATAAAAAGAATTACTACAATTTCTAAGAAAAGAAAGAGGTAGAAAAATAATTTAATTTTAGGAACCATTACTGAAATTCCAGTACTTGGAAATATTAATTAAGTAGATTCGTTTTTTTTTTTCTGCAAAAGCCCCAACGTTAATTCTAAATACAGGGGATAATATTCAGTGGATGTATATATATAATTATATTATATCAATATAAACACCACCAGCGGCATTATCTTATGACTGAAGCAATACATTCCATAGTTATTAAGTTTTACAAGGCATGCATGTGTTGAACTTTATAATTTATCTAACAAATTCATGTGACAAAAAGTACAAAACTACAAGTATTCCGGGGAGTCCTTCCAGTAATAATTCTGGGCCAACTGTGAGTTTTCCTTTTATTGTTGATCCAAAGTCATCAAAACCTCAAAGACACAAACATGAGTAACAATTTTTGTAGTTGTATAATTATGGAATTAACATTTTTGGACATTTACACGATACTTCTTATGGAACAGCACATTTTATCACGGATATTAACTGCTCTTCGTAATTCTTCAGAAGATATAGAGCAAGTTTGTCGTTATTGTCACTTCCAATGTCCAGTGAATAAATTATCCCAGAATCGGGAATAAATGTAGAGGACTCCAGAACAGGAAATGACATCACTGATGCTATATCACGTGACATATGAAACACCGTCTGGTGTCGTGTTAAAATAATGAACTTTGCTAGTTCTTCATTCTTTTCAGAAAACATCAAATTCTGTAAGATCATTGGTTTTTGGAATTTTGAAAAGATGTTAGACACTTTTACCACAGAATTTCGAAACAGACTGTCCGACTTGTTTCGATTGCACTGTACATCCCAAAAAAGTCCGCCATTAAAAACTGTAAATAAGTGCTCCGCAAGTTCACGATGAGAAAGGAAGAAATCATATGGTAGAAAAAGTCCAGCGTTTGGTTTCTCCTCCTTTTCAATTTCAAATCCTCTCAACATTTTTAACGCATGTATAGATTTTAAGGAGATGTCTTTAATATACAAGAAAAGTGCAAAAATTTCACTGGAATTTGTTGATTTACAATCTTCTTTCATGAAACCTGCTCCCGGTGGAACTTTAATTGGATTGACGTCATTAAAATCACTAAATGATTCATTCTTCTCGTTCCATCCAAAAATCTGCAGCCCGTATACCTCGGAAATTTGTTGTAATTTATAATGCTGCTTCTCCGGAAAAGTAGTATAGTATTTATCTATCCACTCCACAGCCTCTGCATGAACGAGTTTAAACATCAGAGCCTCTTCTTCGTCGTCAGGAATGTCCATTTTCACAATCACAAAGTCGTCTGGGTGGGTATTATTCTGAAGCCAAGCGGCAATGTCGACAACCGGAAGTGTAACCATGATTTCCTTTTCACCAAACGGATGTAAACTTATTTTCTCTACCGATTCCGTTGTCGCACTTACCCATGCAGGGCTTATCAACGTGTGATTATCGAATGCTCGGTAAAATGGCGCGTAACTCACATCCGGTATAAAAGAAACAATCAAAAAGGAATCTGAGTCTGGGTATGTTTGAAGAAAAATGTCAATACTTTTAGGATAAGTCCCACCAACGTTTATAAAGTAGTTCTTCGGTTGATAGTCTCTAAACTGTATGCTCATGTCTTTTTTGATGCTGAGACCCTCCCTTTCAGATGGAGGGATGTGAAATGAAGAATACGATTCACTTTTTGACGATCCACGACGCCTTAAACGTGATCCAGAATCCGACCGAGAGCCCGAAAAACGAAATAATAAATGACCACACAGTATTCCAATGGAAAGTGATACGAGGATTATGGGTAGTTTCAAGAAGCGCCCTCTACCCGCCATCACAGACAGCTGTCTTGAAACAGAGGCAGACCTTTTCAATGGCGGTGTATTTTCCATGCCATTCCTTTCAACTATGCAGAACTGTTTATCAGACTTGGCACGACCTCTATTGACCCCTAGAATTTGACAAGTTGTATTCTGATAGATAAAGGAAGTTTTTACAAATATAGGTTAATCAAGGACATCCTTACATTTCTACTAATCAAAAGATATTTTGAAATAACAAAAATATAATTGTAACATCTTTTACTGATACATAAAAGAACACATATAACATGTATAAGAAAATATTTCTTTATCCTACAAACAGATTGTAAAATTTTTAAATCTGTATGTCACGAGTAGAATGGATTCCACTGGAAGCAGACACTAGTATACACATCTGTTACTCCTCATAACACGTATAGAGGATACACATTATACACTCGTATTCAAATACACCCCTAAAGAACAATTAACTCACTGTATATGAGTTAATGTTTACAATAAAGCGTACATGCACTCTCCTTTGCAAGAGTCCCCTTCTCTATCCGATGACAACGGCAATCAATAAGCAAGTCAAACTTTAACACAAAATCCCATCCGTCTTAACAGTACTATAACCGTTGGAACCAAAAACATGCAAAAACTTTCGTTTCTTGGCCCAATATCATGTCGGTTCATTGAACACATTTGTAAGTTGGTTTCCTCGCTCTACTGTCTTCAATTGACCTTTCTCATCTCTGTGAATGTAAGGTTCATTCTTAGACATATGTGAATTGATTAAATTTCCTATGGAATAAAGACTGAAATCGGGTCCACATATAGAGGGAAACCGCTCGAGGCTGTCAAAAGAGGTCTCGGTAAGTCGGTCATTTGGTGATCCTTCTTTTATCTGTTTCTTTATCTCCCTGCATATCAACTGTGGTATCTTCTCAGAGCTGTTGCTTTTATCTAAAAGGCAATTACAGAAATTTCAATCCGGTCATCATCGTTGTACTGATACAGAATTACAGCAAGATAAGCATAGAGCAAGATAACACGTAATGCTCAGTACAAAGGTACATTTTGAATACATGTACTCTTTTTTTTAACAAAGTTATATTTTATACAAAAAGATTTATCTATTCAAAATATGGAATAAAATTATTTTTCATGTAACAAAACACTTAGTTATATGAAACAAATTTAGTGTTGTTGTCCATTAATAATTTCATGAAAAATTAAAGCTTTTTTTTTGCTTTCTAGTTGATAATTTTGACAGCAAATATAACAAGTACAAAATATAAAGAGCAGGGTAGTTTAAATTTTGTTCCACACCTTACTTAATTTTCTAGAGAACAAAATTATATGCTTTTGATAATTATACTATACCATCGTAAAATATAATTTTATAGTTTTTCGAGCACTCAGGATCCTTATCTAGAATATCTTTTATTGCTAGGTAGAACCTCATGGCTTGTATGTACTTTTCTCCCGTCTGTAGGCCTGTCTTAGCATTTTGCTCCATTTCATACATAGTATGAATAACCGTAACATATTCACCAACGAAGTAATATTCCTATAATTAAACGTAAAGTTTTAAATGGATCTTTTCAACAATAAATTTATTTTTAAAGTAAGCAACATTTCTTTTGTTCTATTAAATATAAAAGTGATGTACAGCAAGGATGTTGACTTTTCCCTTTATCATTTAGTTTTATCATTAATAATTCATAATCCATGACGAGATAAAAAAATGTATTATTAATCATGTCTATCACTCTCTAAACGCCTACAGATTGATAAGTTTTTTTTCCATACCCATCCTTCAATCAGTTATCACCGAATCTCTGTTACTATTTAGTATTAGTGAGCGCAGTGAACGTTAAATTCTTGCTATGATAACACACGTAAAATAAATATTAAATAAACACATCCACCGTAATCTATAGAGGAATATCAATGATAACAATGAAATATACTCACAACACCTTTATCGTCTTTTACACTGTATATGCTATTCCTATACTGGCGAGCTACAGTCCCAGCTCTATTTTTAGTAATAACAGGAAGATGACCCACGTGTTCGATAAGTGGATATTCGTCAGATAGGGAATCACCACATCGGCAGCTTTGTGGAAATAGCAAAAACAATTTATCGCTCATTTTCCCGTCCTTGCCATTTTCATTCCGCCATTCTCTCGCTCTTGCGTTTAAATCTTGAAAATCAATATGATGCATTTATTGAAGAAAAATGCGATAAATTTCGAGAGATGTATATTGCATCACTGTATTTCAGACAAAGCATTCATAATTCAGCTCTGTTTATTAGTTTTGTTTTTAAAAAAAGAGACAAAAAAGCAAAGCTAGAAACGGTTTCATAACCTAGCAACGTTCGGCACATCTGAAAGATCTTATTTTTTATTCAAAATTAAACAAAAAAGGAATCAAGGAGACAAAAATTTGTATAGAGTTTTAAGGATGGTTTCTGAAAGGTAGAATTTTGAACACCAAAGAAAGTTTGCAATTTCATAATGATTTAGATATTTATTTAGTATATTCGTATCATTTACCATTGTCAGGGATTCTAACGAGAGATAGAGAGACAGACAGACAGACAGAGAGAGAGAACGAGTTAAAATGCGAAAACCAATTAACAATTAATTTACATACTCGGTAAAATGATTTTAAGGTATCCAAAATAATATCCCCAGGCAAAACCATGCGCCAGATTTCCCACAGGTAAAAGGGACTCCCATGTGTAGTCTGAATCTGTTGATGAAAGTGACAACAGAATTGAGTTCAAATGCAACGTTTCTCTTTTATTACATTCATGTAGAAGTAATTTCATTTTTTCCATTTTATTCCATTTTGTTTTCTGTAACTTTGTTATCAATGTTTATTATTGTCGTGATTATAAAAATATGGGGGAAAATTCGAGCACATGTGTACTTACTTTTAATGGCCTGGATTATATCATGAATATTCTCGAAATTTTCACTGAGTTCTACACAGTTAAGAAGCCGGAGAGGAGGCGGAAGACTAGCAAGCTTGACCCCGCCGAGCAGGACCGGAACTAGACAAACACGGTTCCGGATATGGGAATCATCCACGGCCATCACCATCTCAAACTTGCTCCACTCGCTTTGTAAGGAGGACGGCGAAATCACCAGAACCACATGCCGGGAACTGAAAGAAATACGTCATTTTGTGTTAAACATGAGACCCATGGAACACAATGCTCACCCAAGTCACCTCGACAAAGCTTTTCTACATATGAAGAGTTTAAAAGAAGTCGAAAATTTGGGGAAAAAAATTGACTTCATATTTTGGCTGATACTAATCTCAAGGGGATTCGATTATCCACTCTTTTGAATGTTTTAAAATCAGTATGTCTAACATGGCCTTCAGTGCCGTTCCGTAGAAGCATTATTTAAAAGATTTTTGCTGGGGTAATACCATTCCTAGATTTTACATGTAGCCCCATTTAATTATCAGTGCCGAGATTTGTGAGAGGATTTTTAAAACATACCACTTATTCCTTTAATCCCCTATGCCCTACAAATAAGGATGCTTTGTGGAGTTAGGTCGAAATTGGGCTAGTGAATTATGGTTCTAGAGAGGAAGTCGAAATGTTGAAAGAAACAGACAGACGCCAAAAATTGGGATCAATTCTTTGTAAAGAATATATTTTACATTCGTGTAGGATTTGACCACAGGCACTTGACTTTACTTATTTTTCTTTAAAAGGTAGGGGTATATTTTTTATTAAAAGAAAAATAAGCAACGTCAGGTGCTTGTGGATTTGACTTCATATAAAATATTCTTGTCTATACCAGATCAAATGAAGCATGTAACCCCCACCCCCACGCCTTTCCAAAACTCTAATCCACATCAAATGAAGTTACCTGTGTATGGCGTCCACGACGAGGTCAATAAGATATCCTCCCGGTAGGAAGTCTCTCTCCTGGAAGCAGCATGTCAGACCCTCGTTTTCTAGGACTTCTAGTATTTTCTTGGCATTGTTTGTATCCGTATCAGGACAGTAGGAGATGAAGGCGTGGTAAATATGTGGATGCTCAAGGGTAGACGTCGACATATCGACGTATATATGGGTTGTATCTTCTGATAAAAAATATTTTTATGAACACCAGATGAAACAAAAAAAAAAGAGTTTTTGAAACACAGATGCCCCCGAATGGAAGCTCACAGCGAAGAGTAAAGTTTCTTTAATTCACGTCAAACTTCAAGGGCAAGGTCCATCTTCGTTAGCCAGGGATTTCTGATACGATGCTCTCCTCATAGTAGGCATCAGAAACCCTTGGCTCACGAAGATGGTCAAGAAATTAAAAAATAAGATCTTGTCACAATTAAGAAAAATACAAATGAAATAAGAATTAAAGCTCTAGTATCTTTCAAAGTTAATAGTCAAGGTTATAGTTTTAAAAAAAAAAAGATACTAGTAGGTCAAATTAAAAGGTCAGGGTCAAAAGGTTAAAATTGTTGATATTCAAGGGAAGTTTTGCCAGAAGAAAACATGGAAAATCATAGCATCAACTGTTCAAAATTATAGCCATTGTTAAAGATTTTTTTTAGGAAAACCAAAGTCGTAGGTCAAAGGCAAAGCAACAAAATTGTTTAAACCCGAAGTTTGATTATCACAAGAAATATAGATATAATATGAAAACCCTAGCTATAACTCATCAAGTTATGACCAAGGTTAAAAGTTGTTAAAAGTATGTCAAATTCCAAGGCCAAGGTCAAAAGGTCAAGAAAAAGATATTTACATCCTAGAAAAAGTGCGATGTTAGGAGGCCTTAGAACCAGCTGTTCAAAAATTATGTCCAAGTTTAAGGCTGGAATTTTTATTTTGCAAAAGAGGTTCAAACTGAAAGGTCAGGGTCGACAGGCAAAATATATAAGTAGGTCAATAAAGGTTATGCCACAAAAATGCACCCGTGAATTAAATAAAAAAGCCATTGCTGCAGCCGATCAAAAGTTATGGAAGAGATTAAATTAAGTGCTCGCAAACAGACATATATCGATGGACAGAGCAAATATCACATGCCCCCTCTCTTTAATAAGGTCATTCCAAGTTTTTTTTTATGTTTAGTGTCCGCCTATCTTTCAAAACCCTACCTACATATTCGCTAAAAACACACAAGCCAAAACATAAAACACAGGCTCAAAAGTCATAAAAATGACGCCCTTCAAATGATTTGATCTAACTAAACTGTTAATAGAAGAAATATCTATTCTTAAGCAAAAACAAGGGATTAAATGCTTAAAATACACCCAGTATAACTTACTGTATAGAATTATTTGGAGAAATTGACAAAATTCACAAATTTCGACTAAATTAATCGATTTCAGGACTCCTGATGTTGTGTGTTTTTTCTTATATAGGGTGTCAAAAACCAAGGCGCACGCGGACGCTAAACATAGAAAAAACTTGGAATGGCCTAATTACAGAAGCCCAGGAACGAACCTCGTACAAAGCGAATGGTATACAAAAATAGGTCAAGTGTCTCATCTTCTTTCGTTTACGGTTGCGTGAATCTCAAAACTGACAACATCGATCATTGTAAAGTTGCATAAGTGCACTTCAAATGATGAAGTGCGTGTAAATTTGAAGAAGGAGATGTGATACATGGAAAATTTTCAGACTACTACAAACGGAACGTTCTTTAACCTCTCTTCACAATAATTAATTTTATTTCCCTGTGTGTTTTGGAACTTTTTATATATCCCTGAATTTGATACACTATAAGTATACCGCACGCCGACTATAAATTAAACCTTTTGATAAGAAATTTTATTTTCCTTTTGTGTGTGTGTTTTTTCAGCGTTTTATTTATAGAATCCCATCCCTCTTTTGACACACTTATCAAGTTATTTATACTACATGCCGATTAAATAAAATTATTTTTGTAAAATACAATTCTGTATTTGGTACAACATCGGTGAACATGTAGATTTTAAAATATTAATTAATGTATTTCCATAAACTAAAATACAAAATGTAAAGATCGGATAAAGTTACTTTTGACACAGATCTAACTCATTCAGCATGTTCATCGTTAATTAACAAATATTGATATTGGAGAGAGAGAGAGAGAGAGAGAGAGAAAGAGAGAGAGAGAGATGCACAATGTGGATAAGATTATTTATAATATATTATTTATAGTTCAATCTATTGTATGAATAATTTGAATGGTTTTTATAGCAACATGTTTTATATACTAGTATGACTTAATAACCGTTATCGGTGTTGATATTTACTTATACTTTACCTTTTGTCAAAATGGGAAATATTTTCCAGTTTACATCCTTCGAGTCAACAAACTGATAAAAGTGTAACCATCTGTTTTCTTGTCACCTGCAGGGATAAGATATTTTCCCCCGTAAAATTATTTCCAAATAATAAATCCAAGTCTTGCTAGATTAATCGAAAAATCTAGAAAAAAAATGTACGCTCATAATATAGTACCTTGAAGTTTCTATGTAATCTCGATACAAATATAAAGCGAAACCAGATGCCAACGAAGCTGACTCACGCCACGAGAGAGAGAGAGAGAGAGAGAGAGAGAGAGAGAGAGAGAGAGAGAGCTCACAACTGACCAGTTGTCCATGAATGGCGTCAATTCAAAGTAGACTTAAATCTATAAATATTGATTTTACATTTCACACTCTTGAAAACATTCCTTATCACTATTTAAACATACCGGACTTCTCGATGAGATCAAAACTAAGTTGACACGTTTAAAAATTCGAACAAAGGGTTTTTCCTGAAACCAAAATAATCCAACTTGGTACACTCCAAGATCTATTTTCATGACTGGATGACGACACAGTTGTGTTCATAATTTTAAAAAAAATTTAAAAGATATTACATAATCAAATAATGCTCAAGGACACAGCATATATATGCGTTGTAGTAACTTCAACTATTTAAAAGATATGCCATTGGCTGTTTAGAATTTAAATCCGGATTCGCTTCATTGAAACTTCACACAACCTGATAAAATGCTTAAAATAAAAAAACTTTCTCATCGTCCTGTCAAGAAAACGACAAAACGACGCGGCAGATGTTTAATTCATGACGAATAGGATATCATGTAAAAAATGAGGAATGGTTGCTGCCCAAATAATTTTGAAAAATGAATAAATAGAATAAAAAAAGTAAATAAAATTAAACAGGGAAATACAATGTAAATGAATAAATAAATAAATAAATAGAATTAATCAATAAAAAAATTATACAGTTAATGCTCAGTAAATAAAAACTGAAAAATAAAAGTATATTCAAATTAATGAATTTTGTAACATTTATTCTTCTAGATATGGAGCATCGAGTGCAATAGAGCGGCGATCTGTAATTCATGTAGCCTGATTTCTATATACATATTGATATGAAGGTACGTTATTTACACGGTGTAGTACCTAAACGGTTGCTATCAGAACACAATAGCGTTCAGTTTTAAAACTGTGAAATCGTGACCCCAAATCAATGTAGTCATTGAAAAACCAGGTGCACGGAACAAGTAAGGCATTGCCATGTGTATTTTGCAGAATAGTCCTCTAATAATTTAGAATTAGTCAAATCTCCGAAGCCTGTATCAAATCTCAAGTCAATACACACCCAGTTTTCATGCTTTTTTAATCATCCATTACTCAGATTGTGTTTATTGTGGTATGTGTAGATGCGTCAATCTATAATAATACTTACAAATGATTAAAAATATTCAAAAGTGTATTTTGAAAGAGATTTTGGATGAAACAAGATTTTTTTAAAGTTACGGTTGCTATCAGAGTTTTAGCATATATTGCGCCGGCTACAAACTGAAAACATCTCATCGGTTGCTATTTGAAAATTACTCTTATTTCCATCAATTAAATATTAAATAAACTTTTGGCAGCAAATGCCTAAAATATACATGTTAAATATCCCAAATCAGGCACGTAGCAACAGGGAGGGGCTTTTTTTCCCAACCTTACATGTACTTTTACTATAGGAAATGTTAATTGAAAGGTTGGTTGCCCCCCCCCCCTCCCAACTACTGTATATTACAGGAAATTTATTTAAGGGAAATGTAGTTTTGAATGCTGATAAATTGGTACTGAAGGAACTTGTCACTGAAAAAAAAGTTCCCCCCCCCCGAAATAGGAATTTCGACATTGGGCAACTTTCCTCTTCTTTTTTTTTTTTGCTTGTCAACTTTTTCAGGTAAGTGAAAAAAAAAATTCTCTGACTGGCCCCCCACTTTCAAAAACGATGCTACGTTGCTGCAAATAGCATGTGAAATACGATGTCTATTATTAATTTATTTGCAATGGACTTTTACCGACTTAACTCAGGGACGTAACTTCGATTATGAAAGCCGGGTGCGGGGGGGGGGGGGGGGGGGGGGGGATTAAAAACTGTAAAAAAACCGACATTAAAAAAAATGGAAATAGTCGAACTTCTTTCAGTAACATTTTTTCACGCGCTTGCGCCTATCCTTCTTTGATTATACTGCAATAAAAAGGGTGTGTGTGTGTGTGGGGGGGGGGGGGGGGAGTTATGCTTGAAAGAAAGTCAACAGGCCTTTTCCTTCAACGAACATGTACATCATATGAACTTCCTACGTACAGAAAACGTGGACAATAATGTAAGCTCAATGTACATACATTATTTTCTACGTTTTCCTCCTATGTACATGTGCATTCTACTGGAGTAATTATCGACGTTGGACACCAAAACTTTTAAATTCAGATATTTTTTTATCTCCCGTTATTTGTGGTTCGATAATTACCAAATCTGTGGGGTTTTTTTCACTTTGACTAAAACTGACTATTCATGGATAACAAAATGTTATCAATCCACAAACCTTAAAAAGCCGTGCATTTTATCAATCTTTCATATTTTTACACAGGTGGAATATAATAAATTCAATGGTCACATGATTTAATGGCTGGCAGTTTTGTATGTACATGTACCATAGGCGTCGGAAGCAAATTGAAAAGGGGGGGGGCTAAACAAACTAGAACTGTCCAAACGGGACAAAATACCCCCCGCTGGGTTTTTTCAGAAGTAAGTTTTTCCATGATAAAGATATGTATCACACATGAATTATGAAATTTTTCTTCCAGTGACCTTGAAATTCCCCAAATGACCTTGGCTCAAGGTCATGACATACCCTTGGGTCATGGGCATTTTTTGTGTGAAATAAGAACCTACCAAGTTTATCCATAAGAAAGATATGGACCGGACATGAATTATGAACTTTTTCTTCCAGTGACCTTGAACTTCCCCAAATGACCTTGGGTCAAGGTCATGACAAACCCTTGGGTCATGGGCAATCCTTGTGTAGATTGAGAACCTATCAAGTTTATCCATAAAAAAAAATGTAGACCGGACACGAATTATGAACTTTTTATTCCAGTGACCTTGAACTTCCCCAAATGAACTTGGGTCAAGGTCTTGACACACCCTTTGATCAAGGTCAATCTTTATGTGAATTGAGAACTTACCAAATTTATCTATAAGAAAGATATGGACCTGACACAAATTATGAAAATTTTCTTCCAGTGACCTTGAACTTCTCCAAATGACCTTGGGTCATGGTCATGACACACCCTTAGGTCATGGACAATCTTTGTGTGAAATGAGAACCTACCAAGTTTATCCATAAGAAAGATATGGACCGGACACGAATTATGAACTTTTTCTTCCAGTGACCTTGAACTTCCCCAAATGAACTTGGGTCAAGGTCATAACAAATCCTTGGGTCATGGGCAATCTTTGCATGAAATGAGAACCTACCAAGTTTATCCATAAAAAAAGATGTAGACCGGACACGAATTATGAAATTTTTCTTCCAGTGACCTTGAACTTCCCTAAATGACCTTGGGTCAAGGTAAGGACACACCCTTAGGTCATGGGCAATCTTTGTGTGAAGTAGTAGAATCTAATGTTCCTCCGTAAGAAAGATGGACCGGACACGTTTGCACAGACAGACGGACAGACAGACAGACAGACAGAGGGACGGACGGACGGACAGCTAGACAGACAGACGGACGGACAAGGTGATTCCTATATATCCCCCCAACTTCGTTTGCGGGGGTATAATAAAACATAGATTCACCCCACCCCAGTTTTCAATGACTATATTATGTATACATGTATCTTTGCAAAAAAGTGTGAAGGCTAAGCCCCCCCCCCACCTCCCTGTTCCGACGCATATGTGTATAGTAACTCCACTACTCACATGATACATATAAATATAGGATCGAAAGTAACATACACGACAAGTCAGTAATTTAGAAAGAATATAGAAGGAACATTTAGAATATAGTTTCCTTAACTATAATTGCATAACAGATGTAAATTGAGGATGTGATTTCATGAAATTTGAAAACTTAAACCTTTTCCAATAGTAACCGGTGCTTTTGTCTAATAGTAGCCGTAACGTACGTTTCTCCTGATAAAAACGCTCTAGATCTAAAGAAACCCATCAAAGCGGGCAATGTTATAAAACAACCAATAATATTAACAAATACACAACGAACTGTCGATTCATTTTTATCAAATATCTAAAAATTTTGACGAAATTTCAATATATTCAGGGGCGTAGTTTCGTCTTATATAGGGGGGGCATGCCCCCCCCTTTTTCATTAAACCTTACTTACACCATAGGAAATGTTAATTGAAAGCCTGGTTGGCCCCTCCACTTTTAGAAATGTACCGAAAATGTAGTATAAGAATTGGTACTAAAAGTAGTTGACACTGAGAAAAAAGTTTTTATTTTTTTTTTATTTTTTATTTTTTTTTTTTTGCTTGTCAACTTTTTTCAGGTAAGTAAAAAAAATTTTCTCTGCCTGCCCCCCCCCCCCCCCCACTTTCAAAAACGATGCTACGCCACTGATATTTCTTACGTGCATGTAAATGTGTCCAACGCTTTCGACAGTTTTCGTCTTATATATCAGCAATCTTTTAATTCATTAAAATTCTAAATATACATGTTAGTTTTAAAAGGTATGTTGCGTTCCGTAAGGGTGAAATACCAAGCAGCTAAACTTTAATAATTGATTTATTGACCATTTTGTTGAGCCAGCGAAGAAAAATACTTACAATTTCGTCCATTTTTTTCCACTAGCAACTGCTCAAATTTCGGATAGCAGTAAAGAACGCGCAATTTTTTCTGATAGCAACCGTTTAGGTACTACACCGTGATTTAACTCTTTACAACTTATTTCTCCAAAGTTTAGCGTAAATAATTTTTTATGACGTAATATTTTAATAAGAAAATAACTTTTCTTTATTTTATGAAATTTAAGAAAGTATAAAATAGAAGGAATTTGGCAATAGATTGAAGAAAAATTAACTTTTTAAAGTGCGTGAAAATGCGTGATTGTGGGGAAACGGTATATGCGTGATTTTGCGTTAGAAATGGGAAATGGTATATGCGTGAAAATGTGTGACTGCTGGGAAGGGGGTTAAAAAACATAACTTTATAGACATCACTTGCCTTGGACTTTAACTCGACATTTAGATGTTTATCAATGACGTATTATCAATTAACGAAAGTTACTTCCAATCCATTCAAATATACATGTAAACTCGATACCAGTTTACCCAGTGAACTTGGATATAAAGGATAAAGGATACCAAATTAAGAGTAAGACACATCTGTTTCATATTTGAAGATTTTACTAGAAAAATACGTGTCCTAACAATAAGTCTATTATGAACTTGATGACCAACTTTTTTCTACATCACTCTAACTTAGGATAATTTTACCCCTACTTTGGACTTTCAGTAGGCGTGACTTTCTCGGCGCTACGTAATAGCAAATACTAGTAGATTTTCATTGGTTACGAAATCAATAACATAAGGAACTTAAAATTGTTGTTGATAAAGATGAGACGACTTATGCCCCACCTCTATGCCGTGAGAGAACTTTTAATTGGCTATTTACTACACCAGTTGACATTCGGCCGCATTTCTATCATATGTATATTTCAACAGTGAAGGGAAGCTGTGTAAATTTCAGAAGCTAATTAGGTAACGTCAAGAATGCCACGCCTTAACTGAAAGTCCAAACTCAGCGTGTAATGGTAATACTTAGATAGTAATTCTTATCAGCTGCATATGGGTTTATGTCTTCCAGTTGTTTCAACACACAAGAGCATACGCTACGGACGAATAATTTCCAAAACAAGGCAAGCCATTTGCAAACAAGTTTCTTATAAGTACATAATTATCCCCCCCCCCAAAAAAAACTCTTTCAAAACTTGCGTGAAAGCTTTCTCAAATATATGTTTGTATTGCAGATTCGCGTCATATGATTCCCATACCTAAAGTAGAGCCACATTAAACAGGTATCGAATAATGAATAATTTTCATATAATTATTGACATTGTTCAAACAAAATATCAAAGCTACAATCATGTACAGTAGTTCTTAAAACAATTTTTCATACTTGATTTACAGAAGACCAGAAAATCACCGAAATAAAATATCCACGATTATTCGCTCACTTCTTTTCTTGCAGATTTTTTTTTCATGTAAAACTGCATTATTTTCCCATATAAAAACTTTGCGGAAATGACGTTTTTTATTCAATACGAAATTTTCTGGGTTGACATATCGTGACAGAATTGCAGAATCAACTTCCGGTTAAAAAAAGTGTTGGTATCGCGCCATCAAAATATTAAAAATGGAAAACTTGTTTTATTCCCCCTAACAGTAAGAAAAGTATATAGATTTCTTTATTTTATGATTATTTCAGATGTGCGTGAATTGTAATGCAGTATTGCATTGAAATTTAATTCGACAGACATACATGAAGATGAAAGATAATCGGCTGCCGCCTGACGTAAACAAACGTCGGTAAACACTATTGCCACTAGTTATGCTAGAATAATTATTACATGCAATTGAGGAACGTTTCTTTTCTTTTTCTTGTTCTGAACATTGCACCTCCTTTTTAAACTCCTATGGGATCGTTTTGAAAGGAAAATTTTGTTCATGTGTCAGCAAGTTTTTGTTAGGTAACGTTACACTTTTACATGATAGATTTTTAAAAACTTTCATGAAGTATTACTATTCGTGTAGCACTGGTATTTTAGAAAGTTTGTTCTTAATCCTTTTCATATCATCATCAATATTTACATTTATGTACATAATTTTAAGTGAGTATTCAATAAGACCGTGATGACATTGCATCAGAAGCACTATGTTTAGTATGGTGATTATGCTCAAAACATAAGACATCAAGTTAAATCTGTTTTGAATGTATATATTCTTTAAAACTAACTCAAATAAAACAAGAATTACCAAGTCTAAATAAATCTTGCCGCATTGCCTGGCTAATCTAGAGAGATTTCTTCCCTTGTGTCAAAGTTCATTCTGACAGTAGTTTTATGATGCAGTGATTGTCGCAGTAATTGGGCAAAGATTGCAAATAAATTGAGGTAGACTACAAGTTTTGATGGATATAACAATCAATATTGCAATATTGGTTTGTCCTCGGCTTGACTTGAAATGAATAACTGCATGATGTGTTGTCCGCTAAGCAATTGATCATAACCTTTTTTCATCTTCCGTTTTGATAAATAAAAATTTGAAACATTTACAAATTGATTTATATATTACAAATAACATATCAAATATTTAATATATCACAGTACATTACCCCTAGAAGTTATCAGTGTTGGTTAAATAGAGTTGAAACGATCTGCCTTCTTCAACTTCAAGGTTTGATGTAAAATTTTGTCTTAGTACATGTATATTTATTTTCGAGTCATACATTTTGATGTAAGAAAACAAATCCATCATTGTTTTATCAGAGTTCTTGAAATCTTTTTTTCAGCTGTCAGTCATTTGGTCTGAAGTTTGATGTGAAGATTTTCAGTCCAGACAAATTTCTATCAGTCCAAAAAAAATTCAAGAAAATGATGAAAACTGTATTTGAATTTTATTATCAATACATTGTGCAACCAGTGTCAATAAACACTCAAACTTCATGCCGATTTGATCTTCTGTATAACAACTTTCTGTGAATTCGCGTGGGGGTCCATTTTCTTCTTAAGTTTTTATTCTAGTTTGATTTTCTCACCTGTCTTACCTTAGCGCCATCAACAAAACTAGTTTACTAATCATAGTTTCAAGTTTGGCACTTGCGTTCATGAAAAGAAGCCATTACAATATACAGAAAAGCGTTTGAAAGATTAGGATCAGTCGGTTATAGGGAATTCATACGAAATTTGGTCGGATTGTCGCAAGTTCTTCTGTCTACAATTACCGGTCATTTGGACTGACACAGAACACAAAGTAATCGATCCTTGGTCGTTTTTATCGGTTTTGCCGACAGGACTGAAAGATTTCAAGAACTCTGTTTATGCTTTCCTTTACTAAATTTAGTCACAATACTATTTATATGGCTAATGCAAATTGAGTAGAGGATTTTGATTAGATTGATTTGACTTAAATTTTTTTTTCTACAAACAATCAGTCCACAAAATTAACAGTTTGATAATTATGCTGAGTAACGTGTTTATACCTTAGGCCAAACTCTTCTTTGAAAGAACAATCCTGATTGAAAAAGAACTGAACCATAAGTAGGGATTTCGCAATGTGTATCAAACCAAGAAATAATATCTTAGTGAAATGTTTCACCCTTATACCTATGTACATATATATCATGTATAGTGTAGTTATTGTATATAAGTACTGTTTTTCTTTTAGTAAAAGTTACTTAATGTAAAAAGTCTTGAAAAATTTAATCTGGTGATGATCAAACCTAATCATACTATTGAAGTATTCTGATTAACTTCATTTTATATAAAAAAAAGTTTATTTTTTTCTAAGGTGAGGTGTCACAATGACTCTGGCAGCGGAAGACTGCATGTGCCCAATATGCATGTGTATATTGGTGGAGCCCGTCACGATGCCATGCAAGCACACCCTGTGCTACCCCTGCTTCAAGCAGAATGTGGAGGAAGCTAGCCTGGCATGTCCCATGTGTCGAGTCCGAATCGCCGTGTGGGCCAGAAGGGGAGCTAAGAATGGCACCTTGGTGAACAAGAAGCTCTGGAATCAAATTCAGCAGCTGTTTCCAGAGAAAGTGGAAAAACGACAGAAAGGGCTGGATGACAGCATTGATGAACCTGGTTAGAGTTTTAGTAGAGTAACCATCGATTAATTTTTACAAAAAATTGATAAAGACTGAAATTGGACTTTAAGCAAAATTTACAACAGTTATGAAAACTATAATTTAAAAAGTGTGATTTAAAGCCAAAAATTGATTCTTTTTAATTAAAAAAAAATAGAAGCATATTTCAGATTTATTTGTCTATTTTTTTTTTCAGTGTTCCAGCCTCTGATAAATATTGCTGAGCCGGGGGAAATACGGAGAGAGTATGAGGAACAGATGAAAAGGGTGTGTTTATGTATATTCATATTCTTTATTCAATAATGAACATAAGAAAATAAACATTTTACCATGCTTTTCATCATGTTCATAAATCAGACGTTAGTTGTCCAAATACCTGACAAATACTATCACATTTAGATGACACATGTTTTCAATTTTTAAACTTTTTACAGGCTAATTAAAAAATATATAATAGTTTCTTGAAGTTTAATTAATCAATTTTATGATTTGTCAAATTAAAAAAAATACAATAAACAAAGCTTCGGATATGGCAGCTCTAATAAAGATTACTCCAGCATGCTAGAGGTTCACGGCGAGATACTTTTTACTTGGCGCCACGTAACGAGGTATATAAGGAGCGTAGGGACGTTAACCGAGGCCCTTACTTGTAGAAGTGTAATATAGATATCCAGTAAAACTTGTTTAGTACAAACACAAATATTGCAAATTCATGGATATAGCAAAGTTATCTTAATACAGATAGATAAAACAAATTAATGATATAGCGAAGTAATTTCATTGGTCCCAGTGACTTCGTCATAACCTAGTTTTACTGTAATTGGTTAATTCAGAGAAATATTCATTGTACTGATTAATATCAATATGATCAACATTTCAAACATAGGCAAAAGAAATATCTTTGTTCAGTAAAATTCGTTCAGTACAGACACAGATATTGCAAATTCACGGATTTAGCAAAGTTATCTTGGATCTTATATACAGATACTGTAAGCCAACTTTTATTCGCGACCACTTTATTTCGCAACTTACCTGGGGTAAACTACTTTGCAATGATTAATTTTCTCGATCAAGGTGTTTTTGGATCTGTCTTAAATAGACAAAGAGACTTGAAGGACTGGGTCGCAGCGAGAAATATTAGCTGAGGAGGCTCTAGAGAACATCGCAAAAATTTCTTGAACACAAATAAAATTGTTTTCAGTATTTATAATGGATTATGGATAATGATATAGCCAAGTACTTTCATAGATCCTAGTGACTATGTTATAACCAAGTTTTACTGTACATGTACCATGGTATACATGATTTTCCTCCATTCACACACATCTAATAATGATAAACAATATTGATGAGCATATTATATACCATGACAGATCATTCAGTAAAACTTGATTTTATTTTTTCAGCTCGAGGCCCAGAGAGAGGAAGAGAGGAAAAAAGAACAAGAAGCGAGTGAGGCCCTGATAAGGCAGCTAGAGGAAGAGGAGGAGGCCAGGAGGAGGGAACTAGAAACCAGGGACAGGGAACTAGCTAAGGAGATCAGTGAAGAGGTCAACCAGGTCAGAATTTCATCTGAAGAAAATAATAAAAATTTCCAAGTAGGGGTGAAATGATATGCCTCCTTTACGGTTCGATACGTATCGAAAAATTTGGTCTCGGTTGGGTTATTTTTGATACAATACATTTTGATAGAAGGAAACAGATTCAATGTTGTTTTATGCTACCTTTTACTTAATTTAGTAAAATAATTTATGTGCAAAATGGATAGAATGTATCAATTTAATTGATTTGACTGTTAAAAATTATTTTACAAACTTCAAGTCCACACAAACTTACGTTTCTGAACTAATTATACAGAAAAGCATGTTTATACCTTATGCCAAACCTGACTGAATGACGATCCTGACCGATAAACAAACCGAACCGAAAGTAGAGATTTTGTACCGTGTATCGAACCGAGAAAAAATACCGCGGTGAACTGTTTCACTCCTATTTCCAAGTCTTTAACTGAATCATAGATATTTATCATGACATTTAAAAGATGTTTATGATTCTTAAATATTTCTTATGGTTTTAAATGTATCAAAATAAAGATTGGTGAAACTACATATAAAATTAATGAATTATTATCCTGAAGTCCATGTATTGATGAAGAATATTTTATTTTCAGAGTATCAATGGTGATGATTCTGTTACGCTTGCTGGAGACGATGCAGCACATCGACAGACCCGCAGTACGTCCAGTACATCTTCCTGTAGTGCCTCTAGTAGCAGACCCCCATCAACCATTGATTCCCTGCTCCGAAAAATGAGAGAAGCAGAAAAGCTGAAAGCAGCAGATGCAGCCAACAGAAAAGCGTCTTCACCGTACCCTTACAAGTGTTATAGTCCTACAGAGAAGGCTTCTAAACAGAAGAAAGGGAAGGAAAGTGATGGTGCCTCTCCATTCCTTTATAAATGTAACGATTCCAGTGAAAAGTTGACCCAGGGGAGAGACATGGTTTCCAGGAACTTGTCGTCTGCTGGACTTTCCTCAAGAAGCTGCACCAGCACCAGTGAAATAGGAAATGCTGAGGATGATGATGACGATGAAGATCTTCCATCAAAATATGTCTCTCTTGGTCTTCCATCACTGGAGACTGCCATAGAAAATATAAGTGATCGCTCTGATGGGGAAATATTTGACAAAGACTCTGTTGAGGTGATAGAGAGATGTCGGAGTTCTGAGAGTACGGACAGCATTAGTCAGGAGATCAGTCACTTTCGACCAATCAGAGTTTGTCCTCTCACCCCGCCACGTAAACTTCCCAGCGGAAAGGTTGTCGAGGCACCACTTATCCGTACCACGCCAAGAAACTTAAGTAAAACTGACTTTGGATCACCAGTCCGGACTCTCTCTGATCTGGATGCTTCCAGTCCAATCATGCAGAGAAGGTTATCCGAGTTGGAGGAAGAGCGGAAGACCAACGTCAATAAGTTGTCCAAGTCTACAAGCACGGAGACTAAAAAAGACACCAAGAAATCCAAGGTGGTGACCTTGACGCGTGATCATGATTACAGTGGGACTGATAATCGTAGTGGTGATCATGATTACTCAGCCATGGTGATTGATCTAGAGGCAGACAATGCGGAAGATTCTTCTCTGAATGAGAGCAAGGAAGATTCCAGAAGTGTGGAAGAGAAATCCAATACAAACAAATACAAACTGAAAAAGCTTGTCATTCCATTGGAACCTACATTTAATGATGATGACTTTGACATTCCACCCATGAAGGAAAACAATCCGCAAAGAATAAATAGTGAGACAATCACGACAGCGGGAAAACAATCACCGATTCTAACAAAGAGTAAAAGTGAACAGGACACTAGTGTGCGGCAGAAAAAGGTGCAGAAATTATCTGGGAAAGCAAGAGTGGCATTAAAAAGCCCTCAGCGGACTATTACAGACTGGATTAAACAATCCGCGGAGTGTAGCGGACAGAACAATTATCACTTGGAGCCCAGTGGTAGGGACGATGTGGATGGGGAACCAGTTCGTAAAGTTACGCAAGGACAATCAGACAGTGTGACAGCATTAGGGGACGGCCCACGAAGAAAGGCGAAACAAAACAAAAAGGTCAAGACATATCCAAAACGGGAGAGAAAACCGTACAACCCAGACCCCATGTGGACGTTTGTGAGTGCAGTGCACAAGAGACAACACTTGGACTTGGATGAAAGTTCAAAGGACAGTAGTGTTTGTAGTGGTTTGTTGGATGAGCAGAATGTAGGGACAAGAGATGCCCCTAAACCGCATTCAAAGAAAAGGACAGCTACATCTGTTAACGATGAAAAACCTAAGAAAAGAAGGAAAGTCACAGAGAAGTCAACGGTTAGATCCAAACTGAAGCAGACAACATCTAAAGCCAAACTTAAGTCAGTCCAGCATTCGCAGGCCAAAAATCCCATCCTCAACTTCTGCTCGCAATCAAACTTAAAACGGGTGAAGGATGCCATTAAAAATAACCAATTATTGGATGAAGAGGCCGATTTCAGAGTGAGTGGTGGGGAGAGATTGGACAGGGAAACACAGGAAATGATGGACAGAAAACTAGCAGAAGAACTTGCGAAGCAGTACGAAATGGAGGTGAAAACTGGTTTTCAGTTTTTCAAGCTGAAGGGGACCTCAGAGGAATACAACTTTCGACGGAAACCGAAGCTCTCCATCTGATCATTTCACCCTGAAAAAGATGAACTGTGCAATTACACAGTCTGATTTATTTGACTGTTATGATGGCCATATCAGGTCAAAAAAAGTGGCATTCTTTTTTTTTTTTTATAAAGATAAACATATGATGCATTTTCACTTTGGTTTAATTTTCCATTTATTAAATGTTTTAATTTGATCAGTGATTGATCATTCATTGAAGTGATTGATAACCATTGAATAATGGGTTGTTTTAATTATGTTCATTCTACAATCTACATAGTTTTCTTGCCCCTCTTTGCCTTTATGTCCCTATTGACAATAAAACATACCTTGTATCTCAAAAAGACGGTCAAGTTATTCTACATTGATATTTTTATTTTTTCTCATAGGAAATGGTAGAAAAGTAAATCATAAAACTCGGGTAGACATCAAAATTTAGAAGTTTAGTACCTTACATACCTACATTTTTCACAGGTTTCTGGAATATGTTGACAGAAATGCCTTATGAGTTATCATTGAGATAAACAAAGCCAAGTATAATTTCTAACACTTTACTTTTATAATAAAAAAGGTGTCTGTTTTACTTAATTTGAAAGAAATGCCAGAAAATGCTAAATTGGTCTTGAAGAAAAAAGAAGGCATTAAACCATAGAAATACATACATGTAAATGTATGATAGATGTTAAAGCTAAGGCTTTAAGTTTGAGGAAAGTCTCCCTAAACAATGCTAAAGCATGTTCATGTCTATATGATGCTTCACAATTTTATGCAATACCAGAAGTAATGTATTCTACTTATTTTTTTTTTTTTGTAAATATTATGTGATGTTAATTAAAATATGAAATATATAATGTAGGGCAACAAATTACATGTATGTATATGATCCTGTATTGCAGGTGTAGAGAAATCTGTGTATACTTCTAAAGTAGTCAATGTTTGTAGGATAAATATTTATTTTGAATAAATTCATTATATATTGGCAAAGTAATAGGATCTAGGATTTTTAAAAGTCCATATTCATTTTAAATAATTTACTACATCCATGCCTAAACGGGGGTCCATTTTAAAGAATATTTCGATTATAACCAAAGATTTAGTTGAATGTAAAACCATGAAATTTGATATGCAACTGTTGAAAACTAATTTTATAAAAGTATTTTTTAATTCTTGAAATGAATTAAAAAATATACATTTTGGTCCAAGCTGCAAGTTATTTTGTAAAATGGAGACCATATCTTTGATCTTAATTTAATTGCAATTGCTTAAAGCATCAATTGGATATCCAAAACTAGACAATTAGTACACAGTTCCATAAAGCCCGTAGTAATTTCATTACTTAAGTAGTTTCTCTGAAAATGTAGTTTAATGTTGAATGAAAAATCTTTTTTTTTTTTTAAACAGTTTTTGTTTTATTCTTTATCAGCAATAAATTTGAAATATACTTTCCTTTAGGACTGTATTTTTTTTTCTCTGTGAACTGTAAGTTTTAATTTTTCGAAGTTTTAAAAATATTTTGTGTATGTTTTCCTTTGTCACATATACAGAAAACCAGCAATATCTTATGCGATCTGCTTCAATATATTTTCCCTGCTTACGCAAGGTTCCCCCATGATATATATCTCCTGTTTAATGGCGACCATTTTTGTGTTCTTGTTACTGAGACTTACTCTGTTGACTTGTAATATACATTGTACAGATGTACTGTTATGCTTATTAAATTGTTGGCAACTTTTTGTAATGATTAAATTAAAAATTATTTTAAATTTGAGATTTTAGTTTATGTGTTTTTTTTTAAGGAAAACAAAAACTGCTGATTGTAAATGTTTTCATATTAATGTAGTAGATAGGAACCATGTTACTGTAAAATATTACATTTGGCTGTGTATTCTTTCTAGCCTCTTTTGCAGAACACAGTCACTGCTAAATCAAGTACAAAGTTAAATGAGCTCAAAATATTGCTCATAATTACCAATAAATAAGAATATGAAGAAACATGGTAAATCAAATCTATGCTAGCTTTAATATTCAAAAATCAATTTCTGCCAAATATCGTACAAGCTTAATACAATACATTTACAGTACACATGTCTGGTTTGATGAAGCTGGAGTCTGGAAAGAGAAAGCCAAAAAAAAAAAAAAATATTGGACTGGCCGTAGTGCTAAGTCACATAATTTGTCCAATTCCTGTTCTGAATATTTTTTAAGCAGATTCTAAAAATTAAAAAAAAAAAAATATAGTATTGGCTCAGATTAGTGCATCTTATTGTCTATGCATACTTTATTACAAGTGGAAAAAAATGTGTGTGCAATATGCACACTAAACCCCTTATACATATTGTTTACTTGTGAGGAATATACTGGTACTGACTAAAACTAGAAATGGTTGCCAAACTGTACACTCAAAAGAAGATTTAATAGAACTTTTTACAAAATTCCCATTTTTAGCTCTTCTGAGCCAAAGGCTCAAAGAGCTAATGCTATGGCCATTTGTGCGATGTGCGTAAACTTTAGAATTGGGCCATAACTCAAGAACCCCTTGGCCAATCAGTACCCAATTTGTTACAGGGTATCCTTGGCCCAAGGGCTACCATTTATACTAAAATAAGGGTTGGGACTCTTAAACAAGGGGAGATAATCAGGAAAACAAAACCAAAAGTACTGGTTGCTAAAAAATCTTCTCCATAAGGCAAAAAAAAATTAATTTCTTGGTTCTCAGGCCCTCCCTCTTCTCTTCCAAGGGTGCCTCATTGACCCTTTTTATTGCTAAATCAATAGAATATAAACACCAAATCACCTCCCTCATCATTTTTTGAGGTTTTGTACAATGTAAAAAGGTGCCTCATCATGGTTTGGGGGCAATAAAAAAGAAAAAAAATGCCTCCCTTCCTCATCATATTTCTTGAAAAAAAGCCTGAGAACCAAGTAATTAACTTTGCATGGCGTAACCACTAGGCAGATAACATAAAAATTTACATACAAGGATCAGGATATGTCAAAGATTAAAATTTGCACGGGGAATTACCCTGGGGCAAAGGGCGTGGTCTCAAGGTCACTTCAAAGTTGACCTAAATTTACAATTAATAAAAACGTGTATATTTTGCTTACTATAAGGACTAGGATCATCAAATCTTGTAAGTTGATGCATCTTATGACTTCACATCATGTTAACTCAAAAGTAGGTCATGGTGACCTACTTTTTAAATTTTGCGGGGATTTGTTTTCAAATTGATTTGAGGGCATATTTTGGACACTTTAAGGCCTATGATCATCAAACTTTGACAGTTGATGCATCTTGGGTCCTTAAACAATGTCAACTTAAAAGTAGGTCACCGTGACCTACTTTTTGAACTTTATGACTTATCCTTTTAAAAATATTAAATACCATTATTTCAGGCACTGGGAGGTTTAGAATCATCAAATCTTGTACTTTGATGCATCTTGGGACCTTAAAACAGATTTATGAAAAAGTAGGTCACTGTGATCTACTTTTTGAATTTTGCCAATATTAACATTTGTTTTCAAATTGTTTAAAATGCATATTTTGATTACCTTCAGACCTATGATCATTAAATTGGTCAGTAGATGCATCTTGGGTCTTTGAAAAAAGTCTACCAAAATGTAGGTCACAATGACCTACTTTTGACATCTTATGGCTATATTTCAGTATCTTAGATATTTATTGGCTTAGAATCATCAAACTTTGTGAGTCGATGCACATTTGGTTTTCGGAGAGTGACGACCAACAATTAGGTCACGGTGACCTACTTTTGACATTTTATGGCTTTATTTAAGTATCTCTGGTAATTATTGGCTAATAGAATCATCAAACTTTGTGAGTTGATGCATCTTGGTTTTTCGGAGAGTGACTACCAAAAAGTAAGTCATGGTGACCTACTTTTGACATTTTGTGACTATAATTGAGTATCTCAGGTACTTATTGACCTAAAATCATCAAACTTTGTCAGTTGATGCATCTTGGGTTTTCAGAGATTGTCGACCAAAAAGGAGGTCACAGTGACCTACTTTTGACATTTTATGGCTATATTTAAGTATCTCAGGCACTTATTGGCTAAGAATCGTCAAACTTTGTCAGTTGAGGCATCTTGGGTTTTCGGAGAATGTAGACCAAAAAGTAGGTAATGGTGACCTACTTTTGAATATCTCAGGTACGTATTAGCTTAGAATCATCAAACTTTGTCAATTTATTCACCTTGGGTTTTCGGAGAACGTCGACCAAAAAGTAGGTCACTGTGACCTACTTTTGACATTTTATGGCTATATTTAATGAAATCTGGTACTTATTGGCTCGGAATTATCAATCTTTGTCAGTTGAGGCATCTTAGGGTTTCATTGAATGTCATACAAGAAGTAGGTCAAGGCAACCTAATTTTGAATATCTGAGGTACTTATTGGCTTAGAATCATCAAATTTTGTCAGTTTAGGCATTATGGGTTTTTGAATAACGTCGACCAAAAACTAGGTCACCATGACCTACTTTTCACGTTTGATGGCTATATTTAATTATCTCTGGTACTAATTGGCTTAAAATTGTCAAACTTTGTCAGATGATGCATCTTGGGTTTTCAGAGAATGCTGACCAAAAAGTAGATCATGATGACCTACTTTTGAATATCTCAGGTACTTATTTAATTAGAATCATCAGTCTTTGTCAATTAATGTATCTTGAGTCCTCAGAAAATTTTAATCAAAAGGTAGGTCATTGTGACCTACTCATGTTATTTTATAATTATATTGTAATATCTTCATTCTTAACTGGCTAAATATTATCAAACTTTGTAAGTTGATGCATTTTGGGTCTTATGATACTAATAGAGTTGGAGGCTTCTAATAGAAGTGATAGATTGTACAATTTATCAGAAGAGCGATTCAAGGCCCTTGGGCCTCTTGTATTAAACTTTTTCCTTATTCTGTCAGGTAAAAGCATTTGCACTGTTATCCGTCCACATGCATGACCCATGCAAGTACAGTATACCCCAAGACCTTGACCTCATCCAAATGACCTTAGAGCAAGGTCATTAGACACACTATTAGTCATAATCAAAGTTTATGGTAAAGAAAAGCCTCTTTTTAATGACCTTTCATTTCAAATATTAAATACTTCATAAATTATTTCAATAACTATAATAACTATGCAAAATATTCTGAGATATATCAAAAGGCATTTAATTCTTTAAAAGAAATTAAAACCCTAGGCTAGTGCTTATAATTCAAAGGTATTATAATTAATATAGTGAAAATCAAGATTTCTTTTCTCATATTTTTATAGATGAAGTAGATGATATTCATAGAATTAACATCATTGTAATAATAATACCTAAAATATCAAAATCACAATAACATGATCACACCAGTGACTAAGACATGACTTATAAAGCTTCAATGCCAACATATTTTTCATGTGCTACATGAAATACTGTAGCATTATACAATAAACATCTGTAACAGCTTGAATTGTCCTGTATGTACAAACTTGTACATTTCAATGCATGATTTATTATTGATATACATGTATATATTAACATACTGTAACAGTAACATGAAAGAAGGAAAAAACAACACATAAATGAGATCCACTCAAATTTTTTCAAAGGATTTCATGGAAACAATACTTTTCAACAAATTAATACACAGTATTAATGACATCCATTGTTCATAATGTAGATTAATACTTTAATGTGCAAGTCGCTCAGTTTTTTGGCCACATATTTTTATGAAACACAAAACATAAACTGAAATTCCTTCTCAGGTATATAAACATGCTAAATGAAAGAGAACTTGAGAAAATTTGAGATCAAATGCATATACAACAATATCAAAAAGACTTTAAACAGGTACCCACTACCCAGTGTATGTGTATAAGAAAAAAAATATTAACAATTCATGGACCAACAAATACTCATTAGTCATATTATTTTCAAGAGGAATAGAAAATTGGTTTATGTCTGTGTGAATCACTCGTCCCCATATATGATAACTCATAGCAAAGGTTGAAGGTTTTTTAAAATACAAGTTAAATTCAAATGTCATGAGATCAAAAGTGTTAGTATCCAATGAAATACCCCAAGAAATAAACCCAACTGTGAGATATGAAAGCTCCAGAAAATGATATGGTCAAAGTAATTAAGTTTTTCAAATAAAGGTCAATATCAAAGGTCAAGATCAAAATTGCAGGTGCACTGGGGAAGGTCTTGTCACAAGAAATATACATGTGAAATATGAAAGCCCTGGTATCAATTGTTCAAAAGTAATGACCAATAGAGTCCATTCATCAATGGAAAATTGTTGGAACACAAAGAAAGATCTTGTCACAAGGAATACAACTGATGAGTGTGTAAAATAAAAGCCATAACATCATTGATTGAATACAAAATTATGCAAGGTTAAAACTTGAAAAATTGGGTCAAACTCAAGGTCAAGAGGCCAAATATGTTGATACCAAAAGAAAGGATTTTTTTTCACATATAATACACAATGTGAAATACAAAAGCCATATCTCAAACTATCAAAAGATATGGGCATAGTCAAAGTTTTTGTGGTCAAACAGACAGAGGACACAGAAATAACTGTATCTTTTGATTCTAGGAAAAAAAAAATTCTTTGACTTTGATGAGATGCACATTTGGGCATCTCAAACACCAAAATATCAAATACAATGGATAATAATGATATACTGTAAATCTGGAAATTTTTACATCGATTTTATTTTGCGAAATCGGGTCAAAATGATGTTGATTAATTTTTATGTTTCAAAATTTTGCAAATTACCACTGCTTTGTTTACATTTTCTTATTGGTAATTTATTTTTAAGAAAAATATTTTTGCGAATGCAATGAACTCGCAAATTTGTTAAAAATTTATCTACAGAAAAATTTCCAGATTTACGGTACCTTATTAAAGTGATTTTGAAGTCTCATTGAGTTTGAGGTAACAATGTATGACTGTATAAAGATATATCAGACAAAGACAGGTAGATAAATGTAAATATATACCTATGTACAGAAAAGTATGGTGAGCTTATGAAATACCAAAAGCATATTCTGGGAATGTTGGGGCATAAGTAATACATTCAAAAGTGACTGCAACTCAACAAGATACAAAAAATAAGCTCTTTATAAGCAAACCTCCAGAAAAAGAGTCTAAAAATCAGAGTGAGGGATCCTATGGTGTGGTAGGGAATTCATACAAGCGTGTGACTAGATTAATTTTAGTATATATAATGCTGCTACAAGTGAACCTTTAGAGAACTGAGAGTGATCTGCCCATTGATATAAAATACATCTCACAGTAAATAACACAATTAATATTTGAAATGGATTAAAAATTCTTAACATTATGTATGCCTAAGGATAAAGTAGCTCAAAACATAATTTGCATGTACAGTCATTTTGAAAGTTAAGAAAATAACGGTGATTTCCACTTTGACTGTTTTTTTAACAGTTTTTCTCCTACGGCAGGTGAAAATGAACCAGATCAGTAGGAACACCTTTAGGTGATACAGATTTCTCAAATTTAGAGGCATGTTTCATAAGTGTTTAGAACTTCCTTAAAAGCCACTTAAAACCTTCACATTTATCGTTAATATTAAGGGCCCCAGGCACTTACTCAAAAAATATGCATTCACTAAAAAAAATCTGAAGTACATGTATATAAACAATGTAATACATATTTATACAATTGTAGGAATAAAAAAAATGTAATCTACAAAACAGAGACCATTATAAATAGACAAGTAGAGTTAAAATTTATATAATATAAAGCACCAATATCTATGTTTAAACATATAGACTTAGTAAACCATGCATTTGTATAAAATTAAAAAAAGTACATTGTACTTACATTTCTTAAATTTTCATTTAAAGTTTCTCATATCAAATTCCAAAATACTTTTAATTCAAAAATAGCCTTTGAATTTCCTTGCATCCTTGCATTAAAAAAGGGAAAAAAAACCCAATACAAGTAAATCTTGATAAAAATATATCAGGACTACCATGAATATACCCTGCAATATTTCCTTGTTTTAAAAAAAATTAATATTTCTGGCATGTGATATCTCTAATGACCAAGTACCTTCACTGCTGAAAGGATATTGATACTGTAAACTTTTATAAAAAAAAACATTTTAATTGAGGCCATATGATACAAACTTTTTTCATAATAGAAATTTTCAGAGAAAATCTACAATTCTGAATGTTTAAGAGATTTGTAATATTTATCATTTACAACTAGTATATAAAGTCAAAAATTATATACCAAAACCATGCATCCAATTTATTGTTTGTATCATCTGACCTTACTTACAGGTTATAAAAACGTTTTTAAAAAAATCTACTCAAATCTTGAATATCTAAATAGATGATGCCAGATAAATTTGGGAGTGAGCAGCACTTCATTTGGGGCCTTATCAGGAATAACAGCTTCTTTGTTTGTGAAAATTTCCTTGTCCTTTGCGACTGAATGTCGGCCATAGATTCTCGTGTGATACAATAAAAATTCCATTAGGTACATTTCCTCTGGAGTAACATAGTGGAAAGACACGGTGAACTCACTACAACAATCAGGGCCCTGGATAAAGAAAGAAAATCTCTTAGTCGTATTTTTTCCGAAAATAAACTTATATACATGTATAGGGAAACCTTTACCAGTAAGATATTTTTCACATGAAACTAATTTTTATGTTTCAAATAAAGGGGGATGACTATTTTTTTAATTTTACAATTGGCAGTGATCAATTAATCAACATACCTTGCCATATAATTTTTTTAAAAAAACTTTCTCAATTAATAATGAGATCTTCAATACCTTCAATACTGTAAAAACATAAAACATATAATCTGATGATAACCACATAATTAAAATTGGCAAAAAAAAAATAGTTTTGTATTTACCGTGTTGTAGGGCCTTGAGACGTAGTAAATCTCCCCTCCTTTATGTCCATAGAAAGCCCTCTCAAAGCCAAAAGGATGGAATGCTTGTCGTCCCTGAGTATCAACAGTGGAATAAATTTTTACGCCGAGGTTTCCAAAACACCTCCCTATATCTAAATCCTCGTCCTTCCCCGAGATCTCACATTTCCCGGACACTTGAAAACCTTCCTCGTTAATCATATCCAGGGCCTTTCTATTTATAGCATATCCCGCACCTCCCGACAAATATCCCTGCTTTGTCAACAGTCTAAACTGGTGCCCCAGATAAACTGGTACATGAGATTCATGCTTGGCCAAAAGAAGGCGTAAATTTTCCATGATGATAAATACGTCATCGTCACATTTGAAAAACCAATCATAATCATTTCTATAAGTTTTGTACAGAGCTATGAGTGTTTTTACAGTTTTGTCTGTGAGGTAGCTTCTTCCCTCTTTTACATCCACTTGCATGGTGTACAAAGTAGAGCTAGGCTCGGGAGTCACAAAAATTAGTTTCGTACATCGGGCTCCCCATGTGTTGTTCACGGCTACAGCCTTTGTCTGCATGTTAGCTGGCACTGTCATGGTGTAGCAGAGAATTCTCAACTTTCTGGCTTTCTCATCAAGATAGGACTTTTCTCTGTCAAGATCTGGAAGTACAGAAGTGTTCATATCATTTATTATACATATTTAAAAATACTCACAAAAAGTTGAAAGATCTTCAAAAAAAGAGACTAACTTAAAATTTCTAGATTAGTGTACTTTGAATTCATTTAAAGTTCCATGCAAGGTTTGATGGCTATATATGATTGTGAAAATTGGCATCTTAAGAGCTAGTTTCACTTTATGCATAGAATATCAATTACAAAATTTTTATCTGAGAATCTAGCTATTTGAAAACAAGCTTTATGAAAATGCAATGTTCTTAAATATTGCAGAAAACTGGCTTATTTGACTGCCCACAGCATAGATTCAAAATACAAGCACAGCATAGCCTTCAATCCAAAAATTAAAACATGCATATGTTTCATGATCTTCAGAAACAATTAAATCTTTTGTTTTGTGTTTTCATATTTTAGATCAGAGGTTGTGTTCTATATGAAATTATGGAAAAAATAGGCCCATGGTTCACATTGCTCACCTGAGTAACTTTAACCATGCTGATCTTCACCAGATTTTCCCCCTTTTAATACCTATTGTTGACAATCTTAAGCCCAGGTATAAAGATTTGAACAATTTAGAAAGTATACTACCCCAGAATGCTTCCACATGATGTTTCAGCTTTTCTTGCCCAATGGTTCTTGAGAAGTTTTTAAAGAGATTTTTCTATACATTGATGTAACACTTGGATTACTTATTGTGGCTCCGTCCTAACCATGGGGTCATGAATTGAACAATTTAGAATCTACACTACCCCAGGATGCTTCCAAATAAGTTTCAGTTTTTCTGTCCCAGTGGTTTTTGAGAAGTAGATTTTTGAATGACCCACTCTATTTTCATCTTTTTTTTATCATTTCCCCTTGTGAAGGGGCTAGGACCTTTATTTCAAAACATTTAAACTTCCCTTTACCCTTGATGCTTTGTACCAAGTTTAGTTAAAATTGGACCAGTGTTTCTCAAGGACAGATGATACAAACAAATTTTTTCTTTGAAAAAGATTTATTATCATGTCACAAGTTTAGAAAAGTTGATGGTTCTTAGAATTTTTTCTCCGAAGAACTGGAAAATGAAATAGACTTGGAAAATATTAGTAATATTTCAATGAAAAACAAATATACATAAATCACATTCAGTAAAGGTTTACAGGTGAAAATAAATTTCAGAATATGTTATCTTGGTGCTAAAAGTGTAATATAAACTTTAGAAAAATATACCAAGCCAGGTGAATTTTAGGAGGAAATTTAAATGTTAAAAAATTAACAATATTACAAAGGCTGATTTTAACCATTTAGCTTTTCCTAATAAAATTCACCTGGCTTGGTATATTTTTCTTAAGTTTATATTACACTTTTAGCGCCATGTTAACATATTCTGAAATTTGTTTTCACCTGTAAACCTTTACTGAATATGAATTAGGGAATAACTATCTTCTAATTTGGTATTTGCGACCGTTAATGCTGATTTAACAGTCGCAAACTGAGTTTTACCGGCGACGCGTAAGCGGAGCCGGTAAAACGGGTATTTGCGACCGTTAAATCAGCATTAACGGTCGCAAATACCAAATTTGAAGATCAGTTATTCCCATTCTAATGCAGTCCATGCATTTTGTTTGTTGTTTATGTCTTATTTTGATGAATTTCGTTACATGAAATACGTCACGGAGCATTGTGTTTTGCATCGCTCTATTATGACGTCACAATGAAAAAGCTTTCTGTCTCATTAATGCTCGTTTTACTGCTTCAAACATCATGCATTAGCCAATGAAAAAGTGTTTTACAAAACAATTGCATTAGAATTGTCTATATTTGTTTTTTCATTGAAATATTAATAATATTTTCTAAGTCTTTTTCATATTCCAGTTCTTAGGAGAAAAAATTCGAAGATCCATCCACTTTTCTAAACTTGTGACATGATATTAAATCTTTTTCAAAGAAAAAAATTGTTTGTATCATCTGTCCTTAAGAAGAATTTGAAAATGTGAAAAGTTTACAGACGGACTGACAGAGAGACAGCTAGGCGGAGGACAGACAACAAGTGATCAGAAAAGCTCAGGTGAGCTTAAAATGGTTCAACTTTTGGCCAGAAAGTGCCCTACGTGGCCCTTGCTCTTTGATTGCATGGGGTCTTTATGTACATGTAAATGTACTTACATATTTTATCTCTCTGCTTTATATTAAGGAAAAATCTCTTCACAATTTCCAAGTATTCTAAAAAAAAAAAGATCATGATCATTAGCAAAATACACAAGAAATCCTCAAAAAGTGAAGAAAATTATCACTGTTTAATTATGCATGTACAATGTATAAACATTTTAAAATAAAGCTCAAAGACTTAAATAACTGTATCTACATTGTAATTATATCTCAACCACTAATCTCATTAAGTTGTGAGCTGTTGAAAATTAATAACTTCAACTTACATTACCTTCATATATTGTAAAATTTCATTTGAATGCATGTAAATTTGAAATAGTGTTCATCTTACTAGTGCTAAAAATCCTAAGCTTATCCGTATAAAAATGAAATTTATACTTTTTATGGCCTTTGTAAACCAAGTGCAATCAAATTTAACAGCAACAGTGTAAAAGTTTCAAAACTGGTTGTTTGACATGATGTTAGCTTTACATTGTAACCACTGAACTCTTTGATAAGAAAAATGCATTCGAACTAGTCTTGAATTTGGCCTAGGTGATCTAAATATCATAATTACTTTTGCCATGACTTCTGAAATCTTTACATTATAAAACATCCTACATTTATCTCGAGAGTTCTCCAGTGCTACCAATTAAGTGAATATGTGGAAAGAGGAACACATTCTCATCATGGTAGAATAACACAGGCTGCTATAAAGAGACAGAATTCTACTAAGGAGAGAGTGAAGTCACACAAAGAGGTATATAGAGGTATATTGGAGCTTACACTGTATAAAAGGGTTCTATAAAAGTACAGTCAAATTTGGTTATACTGAACAGGGATTTACCATAATCCTTTGTATATCGCAGTCAGCATAAACATGGACATGTATTTTTAAGAAGTACAGTCCTCTATAAAATGAATTATTACCTATTATATGAACATTTTTTTTTCTCAATTGAAAATATATTAGACCAGAAAATACAATTTATCGTTAATATCGCTATGCCCAGGTCAAAACATGAGACCCCTGCAAAAAATACTTAATAGTTTTCTTGATTAACTGAAATTTATTATGAATTATTTACATCGGCTGAATATTTTCTCCTTTATTTCATAAGAAAACCCATTGCGTTAATCACTGCATGAACTACAGTCGGCATATCGCCTGTACAGATTTCTTGATCAGTGGCTGTTCCATCAATGAAACGTATAAAAAAGTTCGCATCATTAATACAATAATTAATCTTTTTAATCTTACTTTAAATGATTATTTAAACATGTAGATATAAATATAAACAATAAAATGTCTTTCTTTGTTTGTTATTACTTGAATTAACGGTTGCAGCTATTGCAGAAAAAATTACATAACCCGCTTACGTGGGTTATGTATTTTTCTGCAACAGCTGCTTCCATTAATTCCAGTAATAACAAACAAAGAAAGCATTTTATTGTTTAAAAGAATTGTCGGTCATATCACTCAAGAAAGTCAAGATGCCATTTCAAAAATAAATCTGGACCATCAAAGATACTGCAATCAGGGGTGACAAAATTACTACAATCATAGACTGAATGGTAAGAAATGGGTGGTTTACCCACATATGGCTTATTGAAAACCTGAAAGTCTTAAGTAACTATTCTTTATATCAGCTATATCAGCAATCAGCCTTCATAAGATACATCTATACATCTTACTAAGAGGATTTTTTTTAGTGTTACAGTATAGTGTATTGTTGTAATTAATCAACAGAAATATTTACCATGTTTACAACTGTGTTAGTTTTTTGTGTGAAATTACAACTAAGAATCCATAATTAAAGAGGCTGTTATTGAGTAAATCATTGAAATGTTAAAAACAACAACATGATGCCTAGTGGCATTATTTAGGGAGTCTAAGCATTACCATGTGATTGAGATACAAAAGCTGAAACATCTGAAAAAATAATTAAACTTCAACTCAAAGAAAAAAAAACAACAACACAATAGACATTTAAATAATTATTTAAACATGTTAAATACTAAAAATATGGTTTACTGAATAAATTAACTGTTACCCTTTTCCCATTTTTTTCACACTGTGATTAACATCAGACCTAATAGAAACCAGAAGTCTCTGATGAGACTGTAGCTCTACTGGTCTGAACATATAACAAGTGAAGAGTAGCACTTGGATTTGAAACTTTGCAACAGGCAGCAATTAATAGAATTATGCATCTCAGTGTCTTACTCTACTTGTGTGCCATATTATATTGAAATCAGACCAAAACTTTAGGAGGAGTAGCACTTTGAAAAATTGATTACAGACAGATGGGACAGCTAGATAGACAGATGGATGACGGACAACTCACCATCGCATAAGCTCTTCTAGTCTCTGTCCAGTAGAGCTAAAAATGCCATCTATAATTCACTGATTAGATTTTCAGCATAAGCCCCTGTTATTGCTGTTAAATTTTTAGAAGTAGATATTGTTGGAATTAACACATTATATAAACACATAAAATAATAAGCAAACTCAAAATTTAGCAGCAAGCATTGTCTTAAACTGATTATAGCAATTTTAAAATAGGCCACTAGAGTTTTATAAGCAAGTACAAGTTAATCATACCTTAGAAAGTGTAAAAATTAGCCAAATTAGCTAAAACATAACTTCACTTGGAATTAAAGTAAGTACTTTTACAGATTTTTAAGTTCTTGTCATATTGGGTATTTTACAATAGAGTCTACACATACTAAACTTGCATGAACTTTAAAGAGCTACGCTGAATAATGCATGCAGGAGTTATTGTGTTACCAATGTTTTGGTCAATGATAAATATATACTGAACATGCTGAATGGTATACCATTATCTTTGATAATCAGATCATGTGTGTTCCTAATTCAAATTAAATACAGTTGAACTTTGGTGTCTTGAAAAATTGATCTTGCATGAATGTCCATGGATACATGATAAAGAAATTGAAGTTTGACCCATTTAAAAAAAAATATGTTGTAATGTCTTTATCTTGAGGTCTCAAAAATCTCAATTTTCCCAGATAACATCCAGTTCAAGATATCAATGTTTGACTGTATTTTGATAAGGAAGGGGAAGCCAGAGTGGGTCAGAGAATATTTGACATGTCCATTTCAACTAGCATTTTTCATCAAATATTAACACAATGCAAACTATTAAAATATTATAGGATTAAACGTTCTTTTTGAAAAATTTATCGATGTGTAAACTCTTGACATTTTACTCACAAACTAAATAAAAGTGCGAAGCACTTTTATGTTAAGTTTGTGAGTAAAATGTCAAGAGTTTACACATCGATAAATTTTTCAAAAAGAACATTTAATTCTTATAATTCCAATATCGAATTTTTAAAAATATTTAAATTATTTCTCTTTGAGGCCTCCATACAATCCGTTATTTTGGACGGCGTAGGAATACATTTTACCGTAAAGGAACGTAATCGAGATGAATATTTCGATAGAGTTCAACTTAAATTGTCAAAACAATCGATAAATAAACTTATAGCAACTAATCGAATGTTGTTTAAGTCAACAAATATCGTAATTACGAGTTTACTTCAGAATAGTTCGTCTTTGACCATGGCCATGTTGACATAAACAACAACTCTCATAGCGAAACTTGCAGACCGACGTCGCCTTCAATTTGCACTTGTTTATTCAAATATTGAGGAACATTATAGAAAGTAAATATGAATTTGATGCTAATAGGACAAGAGTTTGAGGTACGTTTCTTTTCCCTGTCAAAACGATACAGACTGAGCTTATTTTCTACGTATGAACGTTGAGACAGCGATTTTTAAAATTCACACTCGTGATCGGACAGTGATATAAACATTTTCACGGCGTCCATCAGTTAGGCAGTCTAGTATGTTGCCAGTTTTGTTTAAGCCCTAATTAAATTTAAAGTTTCTTGTATTCATTATTTAGCCAGCTTTCATTGTTTATACGATAACCTAGTAGTGTCATCAAGAAAGTAGTTCTGATTGAAAGAATTTATCGATGTGTAAAAATTTTCTGGAACGTGTTCTCGTCCAATCAAAACACAGGAAATCAATAGATAAAATGAAGATTGGAATTATATGCCATTACACTATCCATGAAAGAAAAGTATCATCAATATTTAGAATAACTACTTACTAAAGGTTTCTTTGTTATCTTCTTCTAGAAAACCTGTAATTTATTCAAATAAACAAACTTCATCACAAATAATTTGTATAATAAACAGTTGAATGCAATATATTTAACTCTAAATTAGGAGAGATATCTTGATTTGAGGGCTAGATTTTTCCCCTCATTTAAAAAAAAAAAATGGTTTTTGTTTTGGTGGTGTAAACCAAATCTGAAGCCTAAAAACTTCAAATTATTTAAAAAAAAATGATTTCTCCAGGCAACATATTCAATTAGAGTAGTGTACACATAATATAAGTGCATGTAAACAATGAAATATGCAGCCCCAAAACTGCAAAAGGATGTAATACCTGAATAACACTTAAACATACAATCTTCTGATCTTAAGTGACTAATTTACACCTACCTTTGTATATAAGGAAGATAAAAATGAATGAGGCTAGCAGGCCTCCTATTTTTGACTGTGGTAAGTCACGAAGAGGGTTTTTGCACCTTATCATCATTCTAAAAATGGAAGAAAAAAAAATTCATTAAACATTTTGTCTTCAGGTATACATTGCACACTCACTACCACTCTGTCCAAAATATAAAATCTTCACTGTCCTGAGCCTTATTTTTCTTACATGTTGTATTCATAGTATAAATTTGCATGAGGGAAATATGAGGATTTATTCAGCAAAGACATATCATGCTCCCTGACTGAGGGTTTTGCCAAAGTTGAATATGATATTTATTGGCTGAATAAATCTTCATGTTTCCTCAATATTCATGCAATAAATTATTTATTATACTGAAACAAACAAAACATAAAAAAATATTGTTGAAAAATGCACTAGGCATCCGAGGAGGTTGAATATGATGAAAGGCATGCTGAGAACAGGGAAATATTATACAATTATGGACTCTTTTGGTGTTGAATATGGTTTGTTATTCACCAGAAAAATATTCATATTGACCGAGGCGAAGCCGAGGTCAATATGGATATTTTTCTGGTAAATAACAAACCATATTCAACACCAAAAGAGTCCATAATTGTTTTATTATATAGTCCGAATTCGAATAGATAAGACATTGAATGCACTTTAATTTACGAACTTCCATTGTTGAAAATAAAAAAAAGTCTCCATATTACTGTTTCTAACCTCCGTGTTTTCCTTTCTGAGTTTCGCTATGCGTAACCCAGTCTAAATGTCAAAAAATAATCCTGAAATAGGTTTGAATAATTGTTTTCCTGCTCAGATACGTAGCTCGCTGTGGCCGTTGCAACCATTGTTTACAACGTTGTTTGATATTTTGATTGTGACGTCACAATGCCGTTGCACGCGCATTGACCCTCCGGTGAATACGGCCTAAAATCTGGTGAATATGTAGTGTTATGAACTGTTCGCGCTTGTATAGGTTATATAGGGAATATAAATAGACTATATAATAAAAAGTTTTATGGCCAGGTTATGTGATAATCTAGAATCAAATCAATCAGATGAAGTGTTGAATAGAATCATCATAATGAGGTGAAATATATTATTTTAGATAATAAATTTTAGGGAAGTAAGATTTAAAATTGTATCTCTTGACAAGCATGGTTATACTGTAAACCTGCCAGTACACAGTGTATATGAAAGGGTTGAAGTTATGTCATTTACATGTAGGTATTTTACAAATATATATAGCATGTATAGTGAATGAAAACTTTGATGGATTTAAGTCCCCTGTCCATTTTTTCAACATGTCCACATCTGACATTCGTTTTAAATATGAGTAATCCAAAGAAGCATGCATGCTCAGCTTCCTTATCCACCTAATTAACTTTTGTAATTCTTACCTGAAATTTTATATCTATCTACTATGTGCATTTGACATCTCTTTCCTCAATCAAAACAGTGATATTTTTGAATATCAAGCAACATTTCTTTTTGTTCCCCATGGTTTATCCTGGTCATTAATTATAAATAAATAGTTGATAACGAAGTTGGAACTTGAATGGATTTCATAGGAAGGATGAGGATTCAAACCTGGAAAAGATCAATAGAAGTACAAACAAGAAAAGGTAACAGTTACATGAAGAAAACAGAGACTAATAGATAGTTTTCGATGGGCCTGAATTTAGTAAGAGTTACTTCCCATTGGCCACCATACTGGAGGTCCAAATGCTCCTATTAATTCCTTCATTTTTCAACAAATTTAAAATTTCAATATATATGTTAATCTGAATTAGGAATCATTATTTTTCTGAAGTATATAAATTTTTGGAAACCTCCTTTATTTAAAAAACAAGAGGCCCACGGGCCTTATAGGTCACCTGAGCATCATGCAACAACTTTCAAATGATTGAATTTGTTTCATGTTTTAAGCTAGATGCTAAGGCATTCACAATTTTGGAAGAGGCACTCTTGCTCAACATAACTGTGTACTTAGTTAGTTTATTTAAAACCTAGGAGCAGAGAAGAAGATTTTCAAAGATTTAATGCATTTTCACTATATAATCAATAGAGCCCCGCCCTAACACCAGAACCCCTGACCCTGGGGCCATGAGTTTCACAATTTTAATAGAGGCACTCTTGTTCATCATAACTATTTACTTAGTTAGTTTATTTAAAACCTAGGAACAGAGAAGAAGATTTTCATTGATTTAATACATTTTCACTATATAAACAATAGCGCCCTGCCCTAACACCAGAACCCCTGACCCTGGGGCCATGAATTTCACAATTTTGGTGAAGGCACTCTTGCTCATCATAATTATTTACTGAATTAGTGTATTTAATGCCTAGGAGCAGAGAAGAAGATTTTCAAAGATTTAATGCATTTTCATTATATAATCAATATAGAGCCCCGCCCTAACACAAGAACCCCTGACCCTGGGGCCATAAAATTCACAATTTATGAAGAGACACTCTTGCTCATCATAACTATGTGCTTAATTAGTTTATCTAATACTCAGGAACAGAGAAGAAGATTTTCAAAGAAATAATGCATTTTCACAATATAATCAATAGAGCCCCGCCCTAACACCAGAACCCCTGACCCTGGGGCCATAAAATTCACAAATTTGGTAGAGCCACTCTTGCTCATCATAACTATGAACTTAATTTGTTTATTTAATACCCAGGGGCAGAGAAGAAGATTTTTAAAGACTTACTGCATTTTCACTATATAATCAATAGAGCCCCTCCCTAACACCAGAACCCCTGACCCTGGGGCCATGAATTTCACAATTTTGGTAGAGGACTCAATGCTGATTACAATCATACCAACAGTTTGACTGCTTGATGTCCGGGAGTAAAGAAGAAGATTTTTAAAGATTGCACTATTTTTAGTGGTTTTTGCCCCACCCCCCCAGGCCCCAGGGGGGCGGGGACCACGAAATTCACAATTTTTGTTCCCCTTCACCCATTGATGCTATATGCCAAATTTGGTTGAAATTGGTTCAGTGGTTTCAGAGAAGAAGCTGAAAATGTTTAAATGTTAACGCACGACGCACGACGGACGACAGACGACGGACAAAAACGGATAGCAATAGGTCACCTGAGTTTACTCAGGTGACCTAAAAATTATTTAATAAAGATTTTCCACCAAATATTTCTTCTATATTTTCTTAAACTTGGTAAGAGAAAGAGGAAAACTCACCTAGTCGACCTCCAACATGGTGGCCAACTGGAGGTAACTTTTGCGAAATTTAGGCCCATCGAAAACTATCTATTAGCAAGGTGTGTTTGTGTCTAGAGCTATGCTCCTCATGGAGTACAGTCTAGTTAGTCAACTTAAAACATGACTCAGGGCTCGACATTAACGCTTGTCCGCTTGTCCGGTACCATTGAAAAAAATTTCGGACAAGTGAATATTGCTGGGCACTTGTCCGATTGGACAAGTGATTTTTCTATGTAAAGAAGTCTTCAAATAATAATAATCATAAAAAACAATTTTTGTAAAATTTATCAAATAAAAACGGAAGCAGTACATAAACCTGAATTTCGATCCCGATATGAATCGCTATGTACAATGTAAGTTCACACTTAATCGGGATCGATGTTCATTAATTGCAGCCATACTATTGCATGGCGTGGATCTTATGACGTTTGTGAGTTTAAAATATATTTGATTGATTTTAAAGATTCACTTGCGAACATTTATGCTGTTGTCAGGACAGGAAATCAAGATAAAATTTTGTTTTATATGTGTTTGTCTTATTTATCAATAACAACACTTATAAATCAAGCACATTTAATTTTTTAATTGTTTTCAAGTTGACATAATAAGACATTCATTGAAAAAATTTCGGACAAGTGAAGTTGAAGTTCGGACAAGTAAATATCTTGGTCACTTGTCCGAATGGACAAGTAGGAAAAAAAGTTAATGTCGAGCCCTGCATGTTGATCTTTCTTAGTATTTAACATGTTTAATAAAACAATATCTAATTAAAACCACCTTTGAATAAATAATTGAATAAAAGAAAGCATTCAAATATTGTTTATCATATTATTCAGCTGATGAATGACTTATATTGCTAGGAATTCCGTATGACATCTTTTTTTTTTAAAAAAAAATTAATCATGACAAAGCAATGAAAAGTGTTAAATTGTCAAAAAAAGTTATCCTTATGATCCTGTATAATTTACATAAACGTGTGTTTGGCAATTTGCTAGGCTTACCAGATTCAAAGATTTGACAGTAAAAACTGGGCTTCTAAATGCTTGGTAAAACGTTGACTTAACATTAGAATATTAAGGATTACAAGTTATTTGGGTTTTTAGTTGTCGTGGTTACGATCAGGTCAGCTCGAGTTGAGTTGAATATATACTGAAAGGAAAAAGAAACGCAGGGTAGCATAATGTTCTAAAACATTTTGACCACATGACCGAAAATTACGAAAATTGGTTAGAAGAGAAATTTAGTTACTGTGCACCAAAATCAGCATTCAGAATTACTCAACCGTAAAATTTGTGACGTCACGTAGGGAAAACGCTAAAAAGCCCAAGACACGTGCAACTTGATAACGACGAGTTTGTCAACTAATCTTGTTGCATTGTTTGATGCATATGAGGTATGCACATCTTTTTTCAATATTAAGAGACATTATGAATTTCTTGCAATCTGGGCACAGTTTACGGAAGTTCAATAAGGTCTTGTTTTTGAATTGCATAATTAATGAAAAAGGCAACAACGGTTTACTAAGCAGTTTCTTGTAAATTTTCCCCCACAAAACTTGTTACCCGTTGTCAGAGAGGGCCTGGAATGGTTTTCAATCAACCATGACGATGACGATAACGCGAAACAGAGCCATGTTACGAACTGGTTATTCGTCCTGCCATCTCTTAAATCGCCACCTTACTACCACAAAATCAGCCATTTATACATTAGATGATTATAATCATTACATTCATACGAAATTTGAAAGAAAACAATTCCGCAATTTGATTTTTTTGGCCAGTCAACTTACTGTTTTATTCCTCTCACTGGCGCATGCGCGCGCCGTTTGACCTATTTTTTTTGCGTGGTCACCCATGCTAAATATAGCCAGGGTCTGAAAGTTAAACACTCTAATGAAATTCTATGCAAAGGAGAAATAAGGCTCTGACAAATGCACGGGAGAGACATTGAGGATAATGAGAGTTTTCGATTTTCACTTTTGGGGGGTATCGTCATTTGAGCTTCAGTAACTCATGAATTATTGGACAAAATCAAATGGGAATTTTGTTACATCTTTTTGAAGGATGATTTTAAAAGTTAGATATAAAAACTAAAAAATATTTTTAGAAAAACAAATCTAATTCACCTCAAAAGTTTACCCTGCGTTTCTTTTTCCTTTCAGTATATATAAAAAATGACAAAATTGCCAGGATGCTCATTACTTACGACTTCATTTTATAACAATATTGTACATTTAAACAACATATTTGTTGTTAAAACTATAACATTACATCCATATCGTCCCGTCCTTTTCTACTTTCAATCATTTCATTACTTTTCCGGAACTGGGTGGATATTTGTCAGCTTGTTCTTAAAATAACTCGATTCAAGTTTCTGCGCGTTGTTTCCTATCGAAGCCTAAAGTACTTGAGGGTTAAAAGGGTTTCTCTACACTGCATACTAAAAGAAAGTGTTGAATATTTTTTTAAATGTCAAGTGTTTAGGGAAGAGCCATACTTAGGTTAGTTCGTGAGGAATATTTCCCCAAACTTAAACATGATAGAAAGGATGTATTCGCTTTTTATAAAAGAATAGAACAATTTCCCGGAAATAGTGACATTAAAATATTAATCTTTATTGGTTGTTTTCTACTCTATTTATGTCTAAATTTTGCAAATTTGTATTTTATACCTAAAATTTATTAGTTACAACTTTACAATAAACCTCCAGAGTTGGCTGAAAAACCATTTTGTCCGATAAAGCATTGATTTTTGCATGAATTTAGGCCGATAAGTCCTTCAGGGCATGCCTGTCCCTAAATAAAATTGTGATATTTTGATAGGTTATAGGTTATGATTGATGTAAGGAATGATTTAAGATAGGATTTATCAGAACCTCAGTGTTCTCCCTTGGATTTCATTTAGGCCTATATAATTTGCACACATAAATGACATGTTTTATTTACAAAAGCCTATTAGGATCAATCGAAAGAGAAAAAAAAATTGAAATGCGTAATAACGCGAATAAGGCGTTATTACGCCTTTTCATTTAAAAGGCGTTATTACGCCTTTTCATTCAAAAGGCGTTATTACGCCTTTCTAAAAGGCGTTATTACGCCTTTTATTTTCAATATATTTAACCAAACCGAGGGGGTGGTGCAGAAGTCGTACCTTTGGGATATGAATTTCACAATTAGATATAGGATTAATTTCTCAAAAAAAATAATTTAAACAGATAGCAATTAGATTTCCAGGGAAAAAAATTGAAGCTACAAGATACATCTATATACATATCCCAGATCTTCACAAGTAGAGTTTTGCCTTCTCTTAATACGAATGTAAACAGTTGTCAGTGAGATGTGCAGGAATATAGAGAATTGC